GTATCTTTTATCAAAGATAAAATCATGTATCAAACAACAAAACCCAACCTCTACCTACAAAAAAAAAAAAACAGGCAAAGATACAGTAAGCAAATTTAAGCAAAAACAATATAAAAATAGAATTCAGAGCAAAAGATACTGGTTGGGATAAAAGTGATTATTTTATACTATGAAAGGGTGTTGGGCCCATTTTTAGGAGCACACATTATCTGGGAGCCACATGGTGCCTATGGGTGGAGGATGAAGATGGCCCCGCGGGAAGTAGGGGAGGCGTAACCCAAGATAGCTCCAGAAGGTTTTCATTGGTCCTCCAGTATTTCCGCACTCGTGAACCCTGCGTGATCGCTATGCTCAACATGTTAGTACAAAATGCATGCCCGCGTGGTCCTTTAATTGACTGGTTAGTTCATGGCCAGCCCCTACTTGCTTGCTTATATAAATTGCAGTGTGACGGCAATAAAGTGGAACTGCCCTGACAGGACCCCTGCCGCGTCTGAGTGTCTCTTTCACGGGTCTGGGTTGGTGGGCAGCAGGCTCACTTTTCCCCGAGATCCCTCGGTCCCCACACCGGGGGTCATCCTGTCGGCTCCTTCTCCTTCTGGGTCTGCGGGAGGACCCCAGGCGCACCCCCGCAAAGGCATACTGTGCCAGTGCCTTGGGGCCCATTCAGAGACCCAGGATTTCCCCGAGATCCCTCGGTCCCCACACCGGGGGTCATCCTGTCGGCTCCTTCTCCTTCTGGTCTGCGGGAGGACCCCAGGCGCACCCCCGCAAAGGCATACTGTGCCAGTGCCTTGGGGCCCATTCAGAGACCCAGGGCATGGAACTGGGGATCAGACATCCTCCACAACCAGGCACACTGCCAGCACCACAGAACATGCCCAAAACATCTCCTCCATGTGGGTGGCCCACCACAGCTACCACAATAACCATGGCTATGGCAAACGCAGCTAGATGCCACAACCACCACACAGATGGTCCACCAGCCACTGGAATGAGTTGACACAAGGAGAGTCACCAGCAGAGATAAAGACAGGAGGAGGATGTCTGTCTCCACAGAGCCCATTTCATAGTGATGGAAGAGATGTCTGCTCTATGATAGTATTGGGGGACCTGATCACACCTCTCAGCACTGGACAGATCATCTGGGCAGCAAATCAACAGAGTAACCATTATTCTTTCAGAGGGAGAAAAGAAATCTAGGGTGATTGGGGGGGGGGAACAGGGGAATGAGGAGGGACTGGACAATGGGCATAAAAAATAATTACAATTTGTATTAATATATATGCTAGTAATATTGATTTGATCAACATATCTCAATGTTAAAGCCAAAAATATGTACAATCAATTTTGATTCAATAAAAATCAAAATTAAAAAAAAAGACTTAAATCTTCATTAGTCTGTTATCATTTAAATAATTTATCGTACCTTACCTCTACAGAATATTACAGACATTACTAATGATGATGTTGAATAATAATTAATCACATGGGGAAATTTTTTACAAATTATTGTGTAGTAAAAAAAAAAAAAAAAAACCAGGTAGTGTTTCAAATGACTTTCATCCTGTAATTCCAAATCTGTAAAAGGGTAAAATTTAATTTTAAAATTATGTGAATGTTAATAAGTTTAAGCCCTGATAACAAAATGCTAAACAGTGGTTTTTCTGGATACTCTCTTCTTTTTTCTTCATAGAGGTTCTTCTCTAAACTGTTTTCGATTGGCCAAATTTTCCACACTAAATATCCAGTTTTATAAGAAGAAAAAAATGCATTTATAGCTGGCACACAAAGAAATTTCACTTCCATGGATTTCTAACTAAATAATTATACACACAAATATTTAAGTACAATGATGTTCATCTCAGCAACATTTAAAATAGAAAGTAATTACAAACAACTTAAATGTCTGACAAAGAAAGGTTTTGGGGTAAATAAGTTACAGTACCTCCATAGGATGTCCATTAAAACTCTGTTGCAGAGGAGTATTTAATGACTAGAAAAAATGTTGATAATATGCGACTAAAATATAGAACAGAAAACTGCATGGGTTATGAGCCTTATTTTTTAAAATAAATACACAACTATACGTAGAAATCACATACTGCATTATAAAAAAGACTAGTAGGAAAAAACAAAAGTTAAAGAGATTATCTCTGGATGATGCATTGTCAATGGTTTTAATTTTCTTCTTAACACCATTCTGTTTTCCAAATTCTCTACGAAGAGACTTTGGAAAGCGTGATATTCATACAAGAATATCCAAAGAAGAAGGGGGAAAGAGGAGAGGAAATTTAAAAATAAAGCAGCCATCTGTTCCATTGCAATGATTTAGTTTTAGTTACTAAATTTTATTCATTTTAAAATTTCAAATAACACTAAAAGAAGAGAACATTTTATCTATCACATGGAGGGATAAGTTTTTTTTCAAAAACAGAGAGGCACTGTTCCAAAATGTACAAGAGTACTTAAAAAGTTCATGGAAACACTCATATTATCTTTTAATTCTATTTTTCCACGAACTTTCTGAAGTACCCTCATGTACTTTAAATTAAAACTTTTAAATATTTAATGAAGTTTAAAGTGTTAAGAGTACTGTTTTTTTAAAGTGAATAATAAGTGTAGTTAATTGTAATAATGTAATTATCGTTAGATGTAATTGTAGTTAAATGTAATAAATGCCATCTACTTGTAGCACTACTTAAAAATCATATTGACTATCATATTAGGAATAAATATATGCCTTTATATTTTACTCTTAAGGAGCACTCAAAACACAGATAAAATTATATTTAATTAATTGTTCTTTTCTCCTCTAAAAATATTATGTTAGCATCATTCTTACAAGTAAAATAGGGAAACCCTTAGACTTTTTAACTAATTTGGGTAATGCTATGAATGAGTTTCAATTAAGGTAATTTTTTAAGTTATATGAAGGGTTAAGGTCAACAAATAAATGTCTCTGAGAAACATCACATTCAATGATTAGTAGTTATACACTAAAATCATAAAAATAAAGAATATAAATAGACCATATCAAAAATATTTATCACTATTCATTCAAATCAATAAAATCACTGAAGCTTTAGTCAAAATATACATATTTAAAAGAATAAATCATTTAAAAATTAGATTACTTAAAACATTTTCAAATCTTTGAAAAGTATTTATAGCTAAACCAGATATTATGCTACCTAATCTTCCTATAATTATTGCATTAAATGACTGAATCTGACTAAAGCTTTTACCCCACTCATGTGAAGTAACTTTAGAGTATACAATTTCCTGTTTTCCACATAAATAATGACAATTGGGAACAACTCTTGAAAGCCTTAATTTTCAGAAATGCCCTCCTTAAAGAGCATCATAATATTCGTGCTTTTAACAATTTATAGGATTTATTTGAAACAGATGATACAGCATCTCATGCCTTGGCTGTTAAAAGCTTTTCAGTCTTTACAACAAATGATTGAGACCTCTGAGATTTTATAACTTGTCATACATAGTAAGTTTCTCCTCAAGCCACAACGTAAGATTTTTGTATGCCAGAAAAGAAATTATTTTCATTTACACCAAAAATTTGCTATTATCAGATTAAATACTTGAAACCTGATGTTTCAATTGAAAAATGCTGGTATTAAGTTTATACAATTACATTATCTTCCACAGACATAATGTTTGTCTACAAAGAGATGCCTAACAACCCTTAGTTTTGTATTTATTAAAGTACTAAACACGAAAGCCTTAAATGAGGCTATATATTTAAGATTTTCGCTGGTACAACACCTGAGTTCTTTAAAAATTGTGTCATGAGAAAAACAGTAGGGAAAACCAATGAAACAAAAAGCTGGTTCTTTAAAAATGTCAATAAAATTGACAGACCTCTCACTAGACTGATTAAAAAAAGAGAGAAGACACAAATTATCATTAGCAGGAATGAAATAGGATATTACCAAAACAGACTCAACAGACATCAAAAAAACAGTAAGAGAATACTGCAAACAACTTTACACATACATTTGACAACATGAAGAAATAGGCCCAATTGCACAAACTATGATAACTAACTCAAGATGAAACAGCTAATGTGAATAGCCCTAAAACTATTAAAGAAATTGAGTTTCTGGTTTAACAGACTACCAAAAAGGAAATCTCCAGGTTCAGATGCTTTCCATGGAGAATTCTATCAAACATTTAAGAATTAACACCAATTCCATTCGAGGGCTTCCAGAAAATAAGAGGCAGGAACACTTCCTAACTCATTTTAAGAGGTCAGTATTACCATGATACCAAAAGCAGATACAGCGCACACACACACACACAAAAAGCTGTAGTCCAATATCCCTCCTGAGTATAAATGCAAAAATTCTTGGCAAAGTATTAGCAATTACACACACTGACCAACTGGGGTTCACTCCACTAATAAGGAAGGCTGGTTCAATATTCAAAAATCAATCAATGTAATATACTATATTAACAGGCTAAGGAAGAAAAAATGACATGATCAAATCACACACACACACAAAAAGCTGTAGTCCAATATCCCTCCTGAGTATAAATGCAAAAATTCTTGACAAAGTATTAGCAATTACACACATTGACCAACTGGGGTTTATTCCACAAATAAGGAAGGCTGGTTCAATATTCAAAAATCAATCAATGTAATATACTATATTAACAGGCTAAGGAAGAAAAAATGACATGATCAAATCGAGGCATTACAATATATACATAATAAATCTTTAGCTGTATTCAATATGGATGAAATCAGTCATACCCATTAAACTTTAAAGGGCTTGCCTATACAAATGTAACTCTTTTCACCAACAAACCAAAGCTTAACCTGTTTCAAATTTTGCATAATAAATATTTGAATTTTGAGAACTGAAGAAAACAAAAGATATTGAAACATTTAAAAAAGTAGCGATTTTTAAAAAAAATCTTGTCTTACAGTTAAAATGCCTGCATGTTCTCTCAACTGGAAAAGAAAACTGTCTTACCATAATTAAATTGACTGTTGGACTTTTCACAGTTAATGATGTTAAACCTGTAAGCAACACCTAGCCTCATTCCACTGACTTCAAAGTAAAACCACTGATGATAATGATTGCTGTTTATATCTGAGTTCAGAATCAGATCATATTCATTTCTGAAAACAGAAGATAAAGAAATCTGATGAAAATTAGGAAAATATCTATGCACATAGAAAATGAGAAAATTTTAAGTGACTTACTTTCTAATTTGAATTACTTTGCGCAGATTCCCAGATTCAAATTTGGAGTTAAACTTCAAAATATCTCCTTCTTCTGGAATGGTGTAACTAAATGAATTTTTTAAAGCAAGTATATTAAAACACACTGCATTTAAACAGATGAGCAAAAAATAAACAAACAAAACTACACTACAGATTAAAAATGCATCACTACTGCCACATGACCGTCTTCATTATTTTTAAAGCAAAGAAAAGCACAAGCAAAGTACAAACTTTGGCTTATATTTATAAACAAAAAAATGCATAATTAAAGATTTGTTCCTATGCTTATACTGATATAAGAAGAACTTCTGCCTCACTGAATGTCATTTCTAAAGTACTAATTATCATTTAGAAAAAAAGACCTATTTTTTAAACTGCATATGACCTATACTAAGAAGCAATAAATTTAATGAACCATGCATTTCTCAGGTGAAAATATTATTTTCAACTTAGAGAGCTACCTTATTTAATCCGCACCAAAAAGGTACAGATACTCTCATTTTACATATTCATTATTTTAGTAACTATTTACTGAGAGCCTACTAGGTACCATATACTGTTTTAGTTATTTGTATGATTCCCTGATTGAATGCAAATTCTCGCTCTTCTGGAGTTTATATTCCAATAGGAGAAAACTAAGACTCCAAGAAGCTCAATAATTTGTCCAAAATCATTTCTGTTAGGAATACCACTGGTATACCACAGTCAATGGTCTTGAGTTTCTGTTTTTACCACTTCTGCCTGGTTTATCTGACAAAGAATTATAAATACTGAAATAACTAAGGGATTATAAACAAACAATGTAGATATTTCTTTCCTAATAATATTAT